GGTGGCGCGGCGCTTGGCTTGGCGCCGCAGGCGCAGCAGGCGCCAGCGAGAGGGGGTCTCCATGTGGCATGCTGTCATGCGAGATCTGGAGTTCTTGAATGCAGGTGGGGCTGTGGGGGTGAATTCACCTCGTTGCTGTTTCTGTTCATGGGCGGATTGCTGGGGACGGACCGGGCCACACCCGCTCCGCGATGCTGCTCGGATTTCGTGGTGGCGTGGGGTTAGGGGGGTGCAGAACGATCATAGATCCCCGGTCTTGCCACAGGTGCTATTTTTGGTGTTTATGGTTTTGGGTGGAGAACTGTGGGAGGGCATAGCGCACCGAAATCATCTGGCCGTTTTTGATGTGAACTTTTGGGAACCAGGAGAAGATGTCCATGGAACCCGTTTGTTCCCATGTATACTCCTTGTTGAGACACTCTTCCTTCACTCCCACGACCGCCCTTGACTTGTGAGTGGTGCTCCTTGACTTCGTCTGCGTGTCGCGGTCGAGCCAACTCCCGTGATCGGTCGAGCGTTGGCGGAGCGCGGAGCACGCGCGGAGCACTCGCGTGATCTCTCGGCGCGCGGCGAAAAAGGAACAAGAGAATAGCGTCCTTGCTCCTAGTAGTACGGCCAGGAGCCCCTACTAGCTTCTTGTTCCTAGTAGACCTTTACATACCTTTACCCAGCTTGCAACAAACAGTGTCCTATTAAGCAGGAGTTTTCGATCATGGACAATGTGATGCAATCTGTTGAAACAACGTTGGGACTGCCATGTTTTTGCAAACAAACTGAAGTCTAGTGACCCACAACACGCGTGAAGTGTGTTCTTTTTGCCTCCCCAACGTCCGAATGTCCAAAAACGGCAAAAATCATGATCGACTTCACCCATCAACTGGATCTGATTCAAGCCTCTCCGAGCTTTCCCCCGGCTCAAGTCGACGTCGCATTCGCTCGCATGCGCGACCGAGTCACCCATGCCTGTGAAGCGCGACCAACGGCATCGAACCAAGCGCGACCTGCGATGGGAGCAGAAGCTCGTTCATGCAACACCTGACGAACCTTCACCTGATCTAATGGCTTGAAGATGCTTGAAGAAAATGAAGCTCTTAGCACCTGCACCTCACCTTGAAGCACAGTGGACAGTGAACTGCTTCTGCTCGCGGTGGCCTTCACATTCTCAGTGACGCTCAGCTCATAGTGTGTACCATGATGCTGAGCACACTGTGAGTACAATTGCACCAACGTGGGTGTGTTGGTGTGTGTGTGTGTGTCATGGTCACCTACGATGTGATGCGTGCTTTGACTAGCTTTTTCAGTGGTCGCAGCCTGATGTCAACCCTGCTGAGCCTTAAAACCAAGTGATTGGCTGAATTCTGAGCGTACGGTGGGGCCACCGGCTCTGCTACCAACTAGAACTAAGGTTTAGACTACTGTAGATCCCAAAACTAAAACCGCCAGTGGTCGCTGGTGTCTCTGAATTCGGCGAACGTGTGATGCATTCTGTTGATCCAGATGCATTCCAACTAGTCCCCACCGGGACTTTGGTGTATCATTCATAATGAATAATGAATAATGATGATACAGTCATTCAGCATAATATCATGTATCATGGAATCATATATCAGCATAATATGCATCGTATGATTGGATAGAATTGGTGCATCATGTATTCATTATAGAACTCAAAGCACGGGCAATCTTGATCATCGTATCATGTCGTAGACTCCACGAGCCCTGATCTAAGTGTGTGTCATCCAACATCCACGATCCACGTACGACGGTCCAAAGCGACGGAAGAAGCCGGGAGGTGTCCCATCCACCCGGCTTTTCATGACGGCTTTTCATGTCCAAACCGGAAAGAAGTTGAGGCAAATACAGCTGAAACATGTAGAAACATGCCAAGACCAGCTCTGTGGAGTCCAAGAAGCCATCTGCTCTGTTCTGATCGATGCTGCAGAAGCGCTTCTGTGGGATGACTTGGGGGACCTTATGGGAAGCATTTCGATCGAGGCATGTGCATGTTGTTCATCTGTGTTAACCTCTCCGAAAGTTGCTCCAGCCATGCATTCCTCAGAAATCCGCTCATCATAGGTCAATTTGGTCACTTATATACATAGTCACATAGTACTAGACTAAATAATATAATATATATATATATATATACGAGTCTACATCAAAGTAACTATACGTAACATGCACCTGGATCCAACCAATGGGCCTCTTCAACCAGCTTCAGGACTTATCCAAGTGAGTCAGCACTGACTATCGGCTGGGGGAAAAGCCGGAAAGTCACCGATGCTAAGCCTTAAGCAATGTACTAGAATATACGCCCGAACGATCCCGAACGCCTGAAAGCAACTTCTGGACTTCCGACGAAGTGAGCCCTGCTCCGTCTTCCAACCCGTTCCCGGCCGTTCGTACAGAGATATAAATATATATTTATATATAAATATTCCATTCATTTCCATTCCATTCATGTCCATTCCAAAGCTGTCCGAGAAGAGACGTGTCGTTTTGCGGTCACAAACCAACATCCAGCCATCCGTCCATGGACGCACCCGCGTCCCGAAGCAATTGTTTCCGCGCTTGGCATTTGCCACGAGCTGGGCTGTGCATTGACACTCCACTGAAAGGGGCACTCTACGGTGACTGCCCATGCGGTGAGAGGAGAGCGTTGGGATCGCGCGATGCTGGGATCGCGCGGGTTGGCTGGCCCGAAAAACGGATGGGTTCTGTTTGGATCCAAGCTTTTGGATCCACACGCAGCGGAGCTGTCTTGGGACCCCCACCTCTACGAAGCGGGAACAAGAGGCCTTGCATTCTCGCGAAAAGAAGCCTTGCTCCTAATGGGCTATTTGACTACTATAGTATCCCTGGGAGTCAAAGACTATAAAAAGAATGGTCTTTAGGGGACCTGAAAGGGAACTTCCTTTACTTTAGCCGGTCAAAATATAGTCTTTGGACTTCCAGGGGTAAACACCTGCCTTCTTACGTTCGTAGCTTCTTGTTGCTCGCCCAACGGTGCCTTTGCTCCGGGCCGCAAGGAAAAAGAAGGAGAATGACCAGCCTGGGAGGGGACGAAGAAGGTCCCAAACCCTGGAAGTCAAAGACCATTATTACTTAAATAAGTAAAACAATGGTGGTTCCGTAAAGGCTATTAAAACAATGGTGGTTCGACTTCGGAAATGGATCTCGGCAATGCCCAGTTCGCCCAGTTCCGCTTCAGCCAGCCCACCGATGTTCCTTTGAACAAACCGGTTCCGCGGAACCAACGAGACGAGCGAAGACCGGTGAAGCGGAACATGTTCTTACAGAGCTTTAGGGGGATTCTTCTCCCACCAGAGACCAAGGGAGGGTCTCAAAGTGCCAGTAGCTTCCTGCTACTAGTAAGGCCAGGAGCGCCCCTAGTAGCGTCCTTGCTCCTAGTAGCGATGCCCTTGTTCCTAGTAGTAATGCCAGGAGCTCCCACTCTTAGAGGCGGATCATCCGCATGGGCAGCCACAGCTGAGGCGGACCTTTGCCCTTCAGCCGAAAGAACAGAAGCATGCCCCGACGTGATACAACAGCAAGGCCTCTCGGATGTGCGCATCACAACGACCTGTGCCCAGAAACGACGTGATGTGGCACACCCCACATTGCACCCTGCTACAAAAAAGAGGCTCCTCTTTCGCTCGCCCTCGCGCAGGCGAGTGGTGCACCCCACGAAATTAGTCATAAGCAGTGTCCCCATCGCAAGAGTGTGATGATTCATCAAAGCCTTGACCCCCCCGGAACCATAGGCGTCCTGGAACCCGGACATGAGCTGCTGTTTTTGGTAGGAAGTTGGACCATCTTTTTGGGGTGGTTGCTGGTCCAAAATAGAGGTCACAAACAGGTCGTAGAGGTTTCAATAGGTTCTCCGCTGCCAATCGAAGTCATGAACAGGTCGTAGCGGCAGCCAATCATCCGATCCCTACGTTCGTCCAGTCTGACCCAGGCCCCAAAACCTGGTCTTTGACCTCCTTAAATATTGGCTTTGTATGACCATCTCCAGTAAGGCCATGAGGTCTTTCACTGACTTGTGTAGGGTATAGTCTCAGAGGTTCGATGGCACATGTTTTCTGGTTTAGTAGTATGGACTCCATCTAAAGGACATCTTGGGAAGCCAGTGCCATCGAACCTCTGAAACCCATGTAACAGGCAAGGAGGATTTGCCACGAGGTCTTTCGCCCAGCTGTTCGGGCTGCCCGGTGCGAGCTTTGTGCGCCTCTCTATCGCCACTTGAAGAATCACTTGCTCTTGACACGGCCAAAATCACCTGCATCGTCCATGGTCCCCTTTGTAGACTGAGCACGGACACTCTGAGAGGTCTCGCCGCTTCGACTGCGCCGACTCGAAGGTCTCATCCGAAGGGGCTGCTCCGCGCCAGCGGGCTCCGCGCCAAGCCCATCGAATACCTGCGCGGTCGGAGACGCTTGGGTTGGTACCGTGGACACGGTAGAGAGAGAGAGAGAGAGTGGGTACGGTGTTCACCCCACGTGGCGCAGCAGAGTTCGCCCCGTAACTGGCGTGGCGCAGCAGACTGCAACGGAACGGGTAGAAACGGGTCGACCATGTGTCCAAAGCTTCCAGCCAGTCGTTGCCTGCAAAAAGCTCTCCCAGCTGTGTTCATACCTCGAACCTGTTTGTGACCTCTATTTTGCACCACCAAACCACCCCAACAGATGGTCCGACTTCCTATTAAAACCGAGGTCATGTCCGGGTTCCAGGTACATCTACAAACCTGGGGGTTTCCAATGGCCTTCCGAACGGAACTGATTGATCTGATTGTCCGGACTTGGTCAGCATTCAGCATCAATCATCACGGCTCTTCGGTATATTAAAGGTCATGTAAAGAAATGCTGGGCCACGACTTGGGGTCCTAAAAACACTCCTGGAGAGACCACTTCCCCAACCGCGCTCGGTTGGACGCTTGATCCCTCCGTAGCCGCGCCGTTGGCGTACGCGGCGGCGCGGTTTGCGTACGCGGCGCGCCGAAGGTTCTCTTCAATGCGAAGAGACGGGCGACGACCGAAGAACGACACATCATCCCAACTCGGCGGCTCGGGATGATCGACATAGACCCTCCCTCCATCGACAAGTCGATAACAACCAAAACCCCCACGGCTTCGAAGGCGGAAAAACCGCTGCCACCAAAAGAATGGTCTTTACCTGCCCCGAGTCCAGGACTGTCCTGAGACATTCAGTCGGTCAAAATATAGTGGAACTGGACTTCTAGGGATATATAGGACCACCCAAGAGAACGCGAGACCAACCTGCTGCTCAACCGGCAGGTCGCGCCTGTCAGGGGGTGAGAAGCCCGGCAGGCCACTGAACCTCGGCGTTGCTCGGGGGGGTCGCGAGCGGTCCTGATGGTCTGATGGCAAAACTGAAGTAACACAATCAAGAAGATCGAGGGGGAACAAAAAGAGATCCAGAACAAGGCCCACCCCAAAAACAGGAAGAAGTATATACTCACCTGCAGATTCACATGGGGTTCCCAAAACCATTGTAGAGGACAATGGTCCCTTCACCACCGGTCCATTCTCTGGTTCTATGATGTTCTATGTTAGTATCAGGGTGGAGTCCGGACCGTCGAGGAAGTCGTCTGAAGCTCGATGGTCCAAGTGGACGGCTTCACCCGTTTGGCTTTCAACCACACCAAGTACCACACCCCTTAGTTTAATAGGCGGGTCATCCCGAATCAACGAAGGATTTTACACTACAAACACCAGGTCAACCATTTTCCATTTTTTGTTGCTGGTCTTGCAATTCACCTGGAACCCGGACATGACCTCTGTTTTTGATAGGAAATTGGACCATCTGTTGGGGTGGTTGGTGGTCCAAAATAGAGGTCACAAACAAGTTCGAGGCAGGTCCCGTGTTTTTCCGACCACAGGAGAGTCCTCGTCTCCCCCAGTTCGTCTATCCTCCTCGCGCACCCCGGTCTCGTCGTCCTCCAGCTTCATCGTTCCCTTCGGGTGCCCTTCAGGTCCCCCAGACCACTTCTCGATGTATTCCACCCGATCTCCAATCGAGGAGTGCGCCTGGAGCCGGGGTTTCACCGTCGTGGCCCCAGTGACCGAAGGGTGGGTTGCGTCACTTCGGAAGCTGAGATAGGGCTACAGGGCTACAGGGCATGAAGATCCCATTCTTGGGTCGATGGCCCCACCGTCTGCAGGCGTCTACCAACTCCGAGGAAAGAGAAAAAAAACGAGCCGGCCCCACCTGATGCTTCTGATCCACATCCGCCTGGAGGGATCGGTCTTGCCAATGGCCAATCTGTGCGAAAACCCCTCAAAAGTGTGGAAGTGATTTGGGGTGTGCACGTCAAAGCAGATCCAGCTCCATCCGAGAGCCAAAGCCATAAACATCCTCTCAGCTTTACTCGGGCCGTACTCGCACGCCCAGAGGCGGGGTCGACGCGACTGGAAGACCCGCGTCTTGTTGCAACAGGTTGTGATGCTCAACAGCCGTGGATTCCACATTGTACTGTGCTGACTGTGGGTTCCTCGTCATCCCCAGCTGGGTCCCTTTGTAAGGCATTCTCCTAAAGCAGAAGTTCATGGGCTAAAGCTGTGGCCTTTTTGGGTGGGTAGCTTCAAGCTGTCGTGCGACATAGCATGCGGATGACCTTCTGCCTTCCGCCCATGGCCCACGCCCACCATCCGAACAGCAATGAACTCGGCGCCCACGGTTCGGCCAGTGCTGGTCCGATCCTACCAGAGAGCCATACCATTAAAGAAACAACTGTCCCAGACGCGACCCGTGGGACTGCCATAGGACTGCCGATCAGTTTGGGTGGTGGACCCCCTCCATTGATCTTCATATATTCCAGTCTCATGGAGTGTATGGGCCTGTATGGGTGTCAAATACCTTGAAAATGGCTTTTCTTAACTCCTGCAGCTGAACGCGCGTTCTTCGCCCCTTCTTCGACGGCCGGGCCTTGTGCGCCTGCAGCTGCTTCATGTGCTGCTGCGCGGAATCGCCTCGAGCTGCTCGAGCTGCTCGGGAAGAGAGGCTCGCGGTGCAACACTGCTCTGTCGGGGGTGCTGGCTTGGGTCTATCCATCCCTTTGCCGGGTTTCAGTGGATCAAGTAGCAGGCCCTTCCATCTCTAAGATCCCTGATGGGCCACGACCTCTGACCGCTACCGTCACCGGCGCGTCACTCGACCCTACGAGCCCCGAAGCGACGTTGGTGCCCGGCGGTGGGTGCCCGCGAGGTTCCTACCCGGCGGTGGAAGGCCATTTCGGTGGAAACCGAACGCGGCTGAGTCTCACGACATCCACAAGCGTCACGGAAGCTGCGGTATGGTAAACGGCGGGCTCCGCCGGCGGGCTCCGCCGGCGGGCTCCGGCTTCGGAATCGGCTCCATGGACCATGGAACTGGGAAAAATCGAAGTGGCTGAAACGGGGTTCCAAATGGACTTCATGAGTGGCAACCAATTGAACCAAAGGCCCAGCGTCCTGTCAGAGAAAAAAAGAAAGAAACACCTACAGCCGCGTCGCAAAACAAGAAACGAACAGAACATGCTCCACTGCGATCCCCCCAAGCTGCTTAACTGAGGACCCTCCGAATGGCACCCGGACTTCCTCGCACGTCGCCCCGATCCCAGACGTCGCCCCGATTCCCCGGAGGCCACCGGTTTCGGTCGGCTTCCTGGGAGCAATAGAAGCCATTCATCTTTCAGAGGCGGGATAGACCCGGATCAACTCGGGATTCTACGGCCTTTGATATATACTGAAGAACCATGATTATAGTATAAATATACTAAGGATCTTTACACCACCAAAAACCAGGTCGACCGCGGTTTCTCGGGATTCTCCCCACGAACCTTCGCCTCGTTAAGCTTCGTTGTCCACGCCCACGGTCGGCCCGCGCCTATGGCCTTTTCGAGGAAGTCCAGGCGTTGCTCCAGGGTGGCGTGCTTCTCGATGGTGGCCTCCCGGTTGGTCGTCTTCTAGGTCGTCTTCGGTTTTCGTCAGGTGTCCAGGTTCCTCCCCCAAGTGAGTCAGGTCCAGGTCCCCCCAGAATGGTCTTCTCTTCCAGGTGAGTCAGGTCCGGCCTGACCTCCCCCAGGTCCGTTGACGGACTGGTCAGGGGATCCGGACGGGCTCTGAGGCCAAGGAAAAACGCCCGACTGGGGCGGAGCAAAGGCGGTTGCCAGTTGTCCAGCTAAGGGTTCCAAAAAGAAGAATACACGCACTTCAATGAAAGGGACTCAAGGAGAACAGTCCATTTTCAAGAAAGGCAACCCAATCAAACAAGAATCAGGTCCATCTGTGGGCAGATTCATCGGACATCCCCGAAAGGGACACTGTTGTGGAGAAGTCCATGTGTAAGCACTCCAAAGTTCATACAGACGTCTCAAAGAAGCATTCAAACACGGAAAATACAGTATAGTTTAATTTGTATATGTATTGTTGTGTTGTTCTGGTCTTTTGCCAAAAAGGGACATCGCCATTCTACCCCTCCCCAACCAAAAGAGCACTCAAGCAAACCCCCGTTTGCTGAAGTTTGTGGAATTCCAGGCCATGTTTCATGTTTGTCGTAGTAACTGTCCACTGTTGCTCCCAAATGTACAATCGTGCATAGATAGCTTTCGAGCTAGAGACAGTCTCCCACTCACCTAGCTTTCAAATCGCCAATGACTATAATGACTTCTTCCAAGGGCCAAAACCATCCAGCCAGCTTCTTCAAAGTGACCTTTTTTGGAGACTCTCAGTGACCTTGGTTTTGTGACCTCAAGCCCAGGGATGAAAAGGTCTGAAGAACCATCCAGGTCAACGATGGTCAACGATGTTGGGTCGATGCCGACCCCGACCCGTGATTGAATCGACCCGTCGACGGGTGAGGCCCCTCGATGAATCCATCGAACCAGCAGCCGTTTCTATGGGGTCTCATTAGGACCACGCCTCTGGCAGTTTGCAGGTGAACCTGCTTTGCTTGGGCAGGTGAACTGTTCACCCCCTATTTCACGCTTGCCGCTGATACCAGGTCCGTTCACACACCAGGTCCTTCTTTTTGGTCCCACCGAACGATGAACGGATGAACCACGACCCGAAGCCATCGACGGCTCGAGGGCCGTGGAGGGGCTGGCCGTCAAGATCTGAGACGTTCCGTCTGAGACGTTGGGCGGTCCGCGGGCGCCTGATGAGTCTTTAATTGGGCCCGGTGCTCGTCGAAGTCGCGCTGGTGGCTCAGGAAGGATTGCTTGTGATCCTCCAGGTCCTTGCAACAGCATGAAACGCTTGAGGAAACTCCTGATTTTCCTGGCACCCACCCCAACCATCTTCGAAACGGAGGGGGCGGCCAGCAGCCCAAAGGATTGATCAAACATCATAACATCTTGGAACGCCTCACCGAAATGGATACTGGCCAGAGCTTGAAAAAGAGATCTTCCTCCATTGGTTTTGGTCTGCCAGTATTGTTTATTGTGAACTCCCGGAAAGACATTTAAACAAATGATGCGACATCTCCCAATAGAATTGGCATTCCTCCCCTCTGCACGAGGGCCAGGATGGTTGGTCCACCATGCAACAGAACGGACTCTCAACACACTCCGCTTGACCCGGTAGAGGAAAGGGCATGTCACCACCCAGTAATATGACCAGTCAGACAGCTCGTGTTCTCCGCCGCGTGGTCACCTGCCATCCCCTCCAGGGCCGCAGACTCCCGAAGAAAGGCCTTCTTGTGCTTCGCCAGGAGCTTGGCATGTTCCTCGGCCGAGTCGCCCAAGACCTTCTCGATGTATTTCATGCGCTCCTCCGCGGTCGTGTCGACCGCGCGCGGAGGGCGCCGCGCGTCCGGCGGAGGTCGGAGCACGGAGTCTCCCCGGTTCGGAGGCGACCTGTGAAACCCTGGAGAATCCAGTGCCCATGGAGAATCCAGTGGTTCCTGGAGTGGCTGGACTTCGAAAAAACTTCACCTGCGCTTTGAGTTCAGGCCCACGTAGATCCACTTGGTATCTCAGGAGTGGAAAAAATCTGTTCATTGCGTGAAAGCACACTGAAAAGGCGATTCGAAAGTCCCGGCACACGGGTGCCGTGGATGTCTATCTTCACACCTCTCTTTGTCGGGCCACGGTCGCATCCCTTGGAACCCTACTGCATCCAAAACAGGAAGCAGTTCAAAGACCCCAACTGCCATGTCCCGTCCATGTGCCATGTCCTCCCCTCCTCTCCTCACGGGCTAACTTGCTGGCTGTCCCCCACTTGCTGGCTGTTCCACTTTGCATTGCGCTTCCACCACCCATCAAGCTCTCTCCCCCCTCCCTCCCCTCTGCTTGCCGGTGCTACTTGGGCGCTCCTCTAAGCTGGCATGTTGTTGACCTTGAACCTCCTTGTGAGCTTTCAGGTCCTGCACAGGCTCCGGAGCCGGCTCGAATCATCCGGCACACCCTGACACCCGAGACGTTCCGGACCCCCGCGTTCTCTCCGAAGCTCGCGCCGGGGCGCCTTGGCGTGTCGGTCGGCCGAGTCCCCCATCAATTGCTCCAAGTAGCGCATCCGCTCCTCGCCATCGCGAGGTGGCGCGCGCCACGACGCGAAGCGAACCGAGGTCGAGCGGCCCGCGGCCCGCGGCCGGATCACTCGGCGAAAGGAGTCTTTTTGAGGCTCTCGATGAAGAACCTCCCTCCGATGGATGGAAAAGACCTCTTCAGATGGGGGGCGCTTACAAAATCAAGAGTCTACATTAGGCGCTAGCCGCTAGCTGCTAGCGTGCTTTTCTCCGGATCCAACGGCGGCAACGATCTCTGCCAGTCGGGACGTGGCCGAGTGCGCTCCTCCATGCTGCTGTGCCGCTTATGGAGAGCCTCCTGCACGGATGGAAGATGGGAACACATGAGAGGAAGACATCAGCCTTGGCAACCACCAGGAGCAGGCGGAAACCCACGTGAAAAACCACGCTGGGAACTGATCCAAACACGATGGGCCTTAGGAGTTCATTCTCTTGGTGCCTTCCGGTCAAATGGACCGCGACTGTGAGCCGGTTTTTCCCCCCCCCTCGAAACCAAACCTCTACTCCGCGCCCGAAACCAGGCGGGAAAGCCGCCGTTCGATTGTTCGATCAAAACGGCTCGACCCACTGGCCAGGTGAGGTGATGCTGTCGAACGAAAGGAGATGAACTCCCATCTTTTGTTCAATGGCTTTGGCAGCTTGGGCTGGAACATACTGGAACTTGGAGGGAAAGCGGTGTTTGCTCAAGCTTAAGTTGGCTTCTCATGGGATGCAAAGATGCTGCGAGAACGCAGGGAGAGTCCATTCGAGTTGGAGGAAGGGCGGATTCAGAACGGAGCTCGGTGGCGCTGCTGCAGATCCTCCCGTCGTCCTGTCGGGTCGTACGATCAGAAGAACCAAGAAAACCAGAGCAACCGACCCTCGGCTTCTTTCATGAACGGAGACAGTTCTGCAATTACCTCCATGGCAACATAATTACAAGGATGGATCAGAAAAGACCACTGGCTGATTGATTGTCCTATGAGTCCTATGTTCCATCTATCTCAGGATCTATCCCAATTCTCGACCACCAAAACAAGTCGCCCATTCTCAACTTCTCTCGCCTTCTCTTGCCGGAGCCGTTCCACCGACTCGGCCATCTGCGAGTGGCGGCCCAGCTGATCCTGCCGGTGACCTTGAAGTTCCTGGCGCCCCAACGAGCTGCGGCGCACCAGACATGGACGTCAAAGGTCCAGGTAGAGTCATGACGGGATTCAGAGGATGTGTTTTTTCCGAGGGACAGTCAGTTTGGGCAGCTGGGCAATGTTCACTGACCTGTCCTTGATGTTGCAAGAGGAGTCCGCCTGATCACCCCAGAGAGGGCCTGAAAGAAGCGGCCACTTAGAGGGGCAGAGCTCCCCAACGGATCCATTGATACCCTGTAGAAGTCCAGTTCGACTGTACTGTTCCTTAGTGAAGTAGAGGAAATTCCCGATATCAGGTACTAAAGACAATTCTTTTTTACAGTCTTTGAGGCCTCCTAGATGTGATTCGCCCCATGCTGCCCAGCTCTATTTTTTGCCGGGTGTTTGAAGGGCTGGATCCAATTGTTCTTCTTACTTTGGTGACTCCAAACAGTCCGCGACGGATTCCAAATCATCATAAATCATGCACCCTGCACCCGGTGTACACTCCCTGGAATCATCCTGGGCCGTGGATGGGAAGAGATGGCCCCCCTTGGATGACCCTTGAAATCCGAAGACACTTCCAGGTGGTCGTCACTTCACTTCCACTTCCGACACTCCCTGGAGTGTCTCAGGCTCCTTCGGTCAACGTGCTCAGAGGGATGAAAAAGCCCTGAGGCACCCCCTGCCACACGCCGAGACCCAGAGCCGGGTCTCACCCCGAGCGCGGCCTCCAGCGTCTTCATGTGTGCGGTGTGCTTGTCCGCCGACTCCCCCATAATCTTCCTGGGACCGCCACTGAGGTCAGGATGGTCTCCAACTGTTTCCGAAAAGCCTCCAACCTACTAGTTTCTTGCTACTTGCTACTAGTAGCAATGGCCTCCACCCTAAGAGCTTCAGGAGATCGCCATGAGAGAACTCCTCCCACCATCGATTTGTGTCAAATCTACTTTTCATAGCACCGGGGCAGTCGAAAGCCCGAACTTGCTCCTTGCTTCGTTTCCTATCAACTCCTCTGATTGTGGGTGACTTGGGAGTTGTTCATGCCCCCCCAAAAAACTCCCCCGGCAACTCGATATGTCCCATCAAAGAGCCCATGTCCATTCACCAACCCTAAGAAGCCGGGACTCCCCGGACCCCGGTTTGGGTCCCCAGGACCGGCCGGAGACCTTCGGCCTGTTGGGTTCAGCTCGGAAGCGACCTCTGCCGCCTCTGATTACGACGGCAGCAGAACGTCGTTGTTTGGGAGAGCGGAGAAAAGGAAACGCCTTTTGGTGGGTTTTTCTTGGAAGGAGCCTCTAGTTCTTAAGGGGAAAAGACTCCTCGAAATCATTCCTGTTCTTCTGGGAAGCGGGTTTTGAGACTTGAAGGGACGTCCCAGCACCTTTGCAGTCCTTCGACAATTCCTCACGGGCCCATACGTCTCCAAATCCTTCCAAGCATCTCCAGGTACTCCACGCGCTGCTGGAGCGTCGCGTGGTGCCTCAGCGCGCTGCTGTGCGCTGCTGCTGCCCGCAGCAGCGTGTGTCACCCGGCCGAAACGGCGTGCGGAGAGTCCGACCAGTCAAAGACCACCCGGCCAACACGTTCAGAGTTCAGCCAACCACACGGGAAAGCCTTGTGCCGGTGGAAAGTCACGTTCCCTTCGACGGCACATCCTCGTTGGATGCATCCATCCATCCGTACTTTGGGCAAGAAAACAAAAAGAAACATCCGTTCTTTCTTTGGATACACAATGTCCAACGTGGCTCGGCCGTGGCTACCATCGTCTGACTGCCCCCTCACCAAAGCAGTCCGGCAGAGCGAGATGGATTCTGAATGTCTCCCTTCTGCATCCGATACTCATGCAATTCCTCAAACACCCAAACCACCAAGCCGTAGCCTAAACAGCTTGCTCCCCCCAAAACAAAGCACCAAAAAAGTAACATCCGTGCCTGCCTGTTACAACCTTAGAATGCCTCAGAAAAACGAAGAACCGTGCCCAGTCCTTGGTGCTCAGCGGCTGATCTTTGGCACCTTGGGAGCTCTTCATGTCCGCGTGGGAATCCTTCAACAACTTCAGGTCTGCCTCGTGTGCCTCGCATTGAACGGAGCGCCAGTAACGGAGCGCGGTTTTGCTGTTGTTCAAACACCCACCTCAAATCTGCCGCCCCCGCAATATCTCTTCTTCCTTGACAATCCCCTAACAAATTGGGTGTGGTTTTCAGGTTCACTGTTTGGGCAAAGCAAGGAGGGAAATTCTTCTCGCCGGCTCGAGTTCCTCTCATCCTTTGAGGAACTCATCGATTCTCCCTCAACGTCCGGAGGTGTCAAACCAAAATGGCAACATGACAGCAAGATATACCCCAAATGCTGTCATCTGGGTCACCATCATGTGGGTTTTATGACGGGTCCCGCTCTCGGTCCAACCGGTCCGCGCCTGCAAGCGGTTGGACACATCGGGCCCACCACCTGACTGGTCGGCCCAGCGGGTATCGGTCGAGACCCGCTGGGTGGGAGTGGCCGGAGGAGTGGATCGTCCTTCGACCCATTTCTGGCGCGACCGCGAAAACGGCCCTGGCTCTGGTTTCGGTCTTGATCTGGGTCGTGATGTTGAAAGGCCTTCGGAAAAAGTGAAGAACCCCCCCTTTGGGGGGCTCAAAAGCCAGCGACGGCGGCGCTTGAGGCGACCGTCGCGTGCCAACCCGGCCGTCGCTTTGCTACCAAGCCCCGCGCGAAGCTCTCGCTTCATGATCTGCGCGTCGTCGCTCAAACGCTGCCTGAGCTGTGCCAGAGTCCGTGGGAGTACTTGGGTTTTTGGAGATAGAAAGAAAAAAGGAAAAGGGATTGTAAAAAGGAACAAACAATAAGTATGTGTTCTGTGATGTAAAAGCGAGAAACTATGCAGAAGAAAGAGACAGGAGTTTGGACCCAATTTTCAAGCTAGCACCCCTTGAAGTGCCTGATCAAATTTTGCCCAGAAGCCCTGGAACCCTTCTTTTGTCCAATGGTGACGGAAGCAGCCTTCAGTCCTTTTGGAGTCCTAAGGCTTGGTTCTGTAGCACCAGGACTCTTCATGCTGCAACAAGAATCTCTACTTCCCAGGTCCGCGACCCTGGACCCGAATCCTCTGGAGGGGTCTGGGTCTCAAATCCGTGTTTTGAGGGACCAGTCGGCCTGTGAACGGAGTTTCTGGGTAGAACGATTCGTCTGAACGGACCCGGAGTGTGTTGAAATCGGGCCCCGATTCGGAAGAATGCCCCAACAAATTGGGGAGGACCGCTGGGCATTCAGACTCCGGACTGAACCAAAAGAGGGCCGTGTGGAAACCAGCCTGTGGAAACCAGACGTTAGGTCCCTTCTGTCTCAACAGAATTCGGAATGGGACCAAATCCGTTCTGCACACGCAACATTGCGACGAGTTTGAGTCGCTCTTTAGCTATATGATGCTTAATATGTCTGAATCTATGTATTATGATGTATTATGTAAACCTCAAATAACAGCTCAATGTAAAGAGCTGAAGCATCACGATCGCATCGCCTCCTTGCGAAGAAATCCACGGAGGAAGCCGGTTTCCCCCGGAGTTCCCGTCGGTTTGAGGCTCCGGGCAAGCTCCGTTCCAAGTGTTGGAGCCGCTCATCGCTCTCCTGACGACATGAACCGGTGGAGGAACCGGTGGAGTCGGAGTCAGACAGTGCACAGGAAGACACCCAACCAAACAGCTCCTCCTTCTCCGTCTCAGACGAAAGCTCAAAAGACCATTTAGATGATTTAAGAGTCCAATCCCAGCGAATCGCCCCAAAATGCCAAGACCCAATAAGACGGCAAATGAAACGGTTCTTTGCATTCTTTGGTTTCCGATAGAGTCAAAGCTGGTTCAGGTCACCTGAACAGGGTCGCAATGGACTCGCCACTGTCGTCGCGGAATTCAGCCCGTGCATGTTGTCCGAATAGAAATGGATAGAAAGAGAAGACGATCGCGAGCATGTTCCACCTACATCCATCTACTCTGTGATCATTTCCCCACCCACACAGCGTGAACTTGAACCCTCGGAGACCGGATCATGATCATATATCCCACACACTCCATGGGAATATATGCCGATCAATTGACCCCCATGGCATCACCCCTGGCCGTTCCTCGGCATATCTTCCAATCCCATGGAGTGTATGGGATATCATGGCCCATGGCCCATGGAAAAACATGCGATTCTCAAGCAGCGACGTTGGATCCGAACTGCCAGGAGCCTTTTTCCACACCATGGTCGTTCTGGTGCTTCAGTTCGACGCCTCGCCCGGACCGCCGCTTTCGATCTCGCGCGCAGCCCGTCTCTTCGTGGTCTGACCCCACCGGGCGGCTCGGACCTTTCCACCGCCGGCGTTCGGAGGAACGAGCCGGGAACGGGTCCTGCTTTTGATTCACCAGCTGCTCGTCCCACCTGGTGCGGAAGGGACCGAGGCGGCAGGGACTGACCACCAGAAACCCCCCACAGGTGGCATCAAACACCGGGTGTTCTCTTGCAAACAAGACATGGCTTTGATGGCAAACAGGGTGTGTGAAAACCTGTCGGGCTCATGGGATGAAACCCCGTGGCACCGTCGCAAGGTCGCAGGTCTGGACCTGGACCTGGTCGGCGGTGGAACTCCCAGTGAGGTCCCGTTTCGACCAGTGCAGGCGTGGTGGGTGGGGGGTGCACGCTTCGAAACGTCAACCTGGTGGGAGCGACCTCGCGGAGCGACCCAATGCCACCGAAACATGGTGGAATCATGTGCATGTGAATGCCTTTCAGCACGAGCCCATTCAGCACCCCTTCAGAATGCCTTCTTCCGAGAGTCCCATGTGCCTTTCTGCAGCCACCATCCCTTTTGGATGCGTTGGCCCCCCGACGCGTTCGACACGTTCGAAGCGTTCCCTTCCCTGCCCCTCTAAGTCCCGATCCCCACCGATCGCGCGGGCAACCTGGCAGTGAGCTCGAAGTTGTTTGCTTGTTGCTTCTGGATCGAGGCCTCCAAATGGGAGCAAAGAAGACAAAGGTCACGCCCTGGATGGTGGCTTGATGTTGAGTATATCCTATTCCCAGGTTTCAGTAGATGATGATGGTTCGTAAAGGCCTTTCTCTAAAATAGTGATATCTTCTTGCCACCTTTACTGGGGCACCCCCAAGCGTGGTGTTTAGAGGGGCCAACCTGTGAACCCTGCAGGTCTCACACCTTCCGCATGCCGCCCGCCACAGATCTGGGCCCCAAACATGTCGCGCCGTCCACTCGACCAGTCATCGTTGACACACAGACCCGTTGTTGTTCCGCTGGGCGACGCAATCACTGGCCGGAAATCCAGTACACCCCCGAAAACCCGACAATGGCTCGTGGAAGATTGTTTCCCTCTACCAACCAGTGGTTGTCGTCCTTGCGATCGTCTTCCAGTACAGCACTTCTTCTCCACGCTCGACTCCAAAGGACTCTCGTGACTCGAAAGGCACCCCCAAAAGCCCGCCGTGGTTTCTGTGATCCACACTCCGGCGCCGATGCCGGCCGCGAACTCCAGCAAACCACACCAAGCAAAGGAATGCGTGTCTCCAACCTAATAGCTCAAAAACGCGTTCCTGCAAGGATCACAGGCAGCTTGACCCCCACCATGGCCGAAACCAGACCCGAGCTGCGTGTTCGAAAGCACCAGACAGCTTGACCGAGCTGCACCTTCATCTCTTGCAGCTCTTCCCGCATCTGCGCGAAGTCCTTCCGGAAGGCCTGCGTCCCAGGGCCACAAGGACAGGGAGGAGTCGATGATGAGTCGAGAAGCCGATGTGTTCGGCCAGAACAAAAAAGAAAGAAAGAACACACCCATTGGATACTTCATTCATTTCTTCGTTTCCTTGTGTTTTCTTTGTAGATGTCCTCATTTTTGCGGTTTGATTCTTCCAAAGGACTGATCCCACTAAGACTGGCCGTGCATCCCTGGTCCGTGTGAATGGGCAACCCCCCCACAAAAGTGTTCCTCTGGTGGTTCTTTGTACATTCAAACATTACCTGTTGGAAGTTGGAGAATGAGACAAGCCCCAGATGTGTTCTTTCTAAACAGGTTAAAGAGGGTCTATGTGTTTAAGACTCAAGGGTTAGAAAAGAAAGCATGCTTTCCCGAGTGAATGACCTAAGAGAAGGGGACAGCACCAAAGACATTGTCCCTCCTCAACCGCGCTTTCTTACGTGTTCTGAAAAACCCGCCATAGAAATTAGGGATGGAGAGGAGGTCCAACATGTAGTCTACGGGGGAAAATGCATCGTTTCATTGGATGGTGATCTTCTTCGCAGGTCACTTCTTCTACCGGGCGCATGAGGTGCTTGACGTGGAGCCAGGTGAGGTGAACCGACATGACAAACCAACACAAAAAATCAGAGAGAGAGAGAGAGACAGGCCGGACCTCACCGTACAGGAATCTGCGCACCAGGTTGCCAGGTTTGCTTGTAAAATGAGGAAAAAGATGTAGTCTACACTGTAGAAGAATTCACATGGAACGTTTGTAGAGGAAAATCGTGTTTCCAAGGTCCATGCTATCAGGTTCCACGTTCATCTTAACGGGTGTGAGGGTTGATGCTCAAGATCGCTCCAGCATGGAGTTTCCAGGAGCGCCCCGAACGGTAGCGTCCGATCCCTCCGTTCGAGTCGCGATGCCCTTTGCTCCGTTCGTAGCTGCAAAGCCGGACACGGACGGTGAGAAATTGACCTAGCACTTGGGAAACGAAAAAAGAAGTGAAAATCAGCACAGCGATGTACAGGGTGTCAAAGGCCCCCAATGTGATGCTCAGAGGACCCCCACACGCGTGCCGAAGGCCGAAAGGCCGTGGATGAGGACACCGAGACGTGCCCACCAACCTCACGGAGAACAACCGCGTGAAACAGGTGCAACAGAGCCACACCCATCGGGGCTGTGACTTGACTGACCCCCCCCCCCTCGGCGCCCAAGGGTGCTGCACCACTGCAGGCGGCAAAGAAAGTCTGCCTCGGAGCGAGAGAGGCCCCGCCCCGCCTGGGTTTGCTCTCGCACCAGCCGCAGCTGGGTTTGGTGGATCTCAAGCTCCTGCCGAGGCAAAGGATGTGATGAGTGGACATCCCACGCCGCGGGTGGACAGTGCCAAGAGAGTTGGGTCGGACATCGTTGGAGTTCATGCGATCACATCGGAGATCAAAAGGCAGAGAAATCGCCATCGCTCTCAGCTTGGAGGCCATCGCTCGTAGGTTGGAGGCCATCGCTAGTAGGTTGGAGGCCATCCCTAGTAGGGTGGAGGCCCCAAACTCGTTTGAGATGGCTGCTTTCCGGATTCACACCCACGTGGATCTCCTTGGCATCCAAGTGCTCGATCTGCCTCTCCCATTCCGCCGCGCGGCGTTGCACCTCCGTCGCCGCCTCCTCAGGGAAGGGAGATGGTGGACCTTGTGACTGGTTGGGGTGTAGATTCCAACGTTCAAAGGGCCTCATTGTTTGAGACACACCCTGGCTGCTGGGCTGCCGAGATGGCTCCAACAGTTGCAAACAGAGTTTGGGTAGAGACTCTCTAAGTTACCCTGAACCTGGTGTGTCACATGACTGACACCGCTAATTCTTTGCACCTATTCTTGCACCATCTATATGTATAGTAGTAGCAGCTCCACCCCCTTTCCGCCCGCTGGCTCGCCCGTCACCCGGTCCGTCGCCGGGTGCCCCGTCCTGCCCGGCGAGGCTCCGAGGTGAAGCGAAGCCCTCGGTGCCGCGGCGGCGAGTCGAGGGCGAGGCTCGAAAGGTCGGAGTCGCATGGAGGCCAGGGTGGTGCTCTCATCCAGTGGAAGTGACAGGGGCACCCCGACTACATCCATGGATAGCACCTAAGCTCCATGTGACTGCTGGCAATTGGTTGTTTCCGAACCAAAAAAAAAGGAGCTGCTCGAAAAAAAGGATGAAGGATAATGAAGGCTAGGCCTTAGGTTTGTTCTTTAAACTGTCTTTTCACCCCCAATTTCTCTCCGGCGTTCCTCGGCCCTCGGACCACCGGCGTCCTCCCGTCGGGCCCCCGTGCCGAGCCGAAGGAGCCGAAGGAGTTCCCACCGCCTCACGGCCCACCGCCGCTTCGGTGACACCGCCTGAAGAACCCTCCAGTCCACCCTACGGACCAGTCCACCCCTACCAGTTGGGCTGGTCTTTGTCTTCGTCCCAGATGGGCGCCGAAGCAGGGTCAGACGTCGGTGGAGGACCCTCCGTCCTCCGCCCGGGTGCAGGGCGCGCAGGGCGTGGCGCAACGCGGGGAGGCGCGCGGCCCTGATTAACGCCTGCCTTGCTTTTGGGGGGGCGCGGTGTTGTGGTGTGGAATCTTGAAGGAACGATGTGTGGAACGATGTGTGTGCTGTGCTGTGTGTGGTTTCGAAGTTTCTTGCCATCCACGGTCATGGTTCAGGTGCTTCCTTCGCAGACCACTCGCGGGGTCAACGCGGATCAACGCTACGTCCGACCTGCTGCGTCGGCGACGCGAACGGATCGCCGTGAGCTCGCCATGCGGCCCGTACGCGCTCCGTCGACATGTGGCCGAAACGACGCCCGGTCCAACTGCGAAACGATCGCTGTGGAGGGCTGTTCCGAAGATTTCCAGGAGACTTCCCACTTCAAGCACCATGATTCCTAGACACCCATTGCGCGTCCGCCACCCCCTCCCCCGAGACCGACCACCGGATGGAAGTAGGCCATATAATGTAGACCGTTGATGAGGAGACACCCCTCATTTTTGCCGTTGCACGTTACCGATTAAGACCGTCTGGCATCCATGGCCCCATCCACGGCGTCTTCATACCGAAACGTTTTGGCCATAAGACGTCTGAGACGGCCGCAGGCTCGAATGTTCGGACTGTTTGGGGCGCATGATCTGTTTGGGTGCTGTTCTGGTGGGTTAAAAGCTCCAGAAAGTGGCGACAAGCTTCTAGACACATCTTTAGATTTCCGGGCCTCTTTCAGCTTCGGAGAGTCCAATTCCCAGTATAGTTCCACCACTTCAAGCACCTCTTCTCTCGGTTTTTGGGCTCCAGTTCTGCACTGGCACCACTGCAGAGGTCCGTCCTCCCTCGCTGCGACCACGTGCGCAGTCACTGGCGCCTCCCCGGAGCTTCAGCGGCGACAGGCTGCGCTCCCGTCCTGAAGCGCTGGAGGTCCGCCATGACTCTGGCCGAGGGTGGGTGCAGGCAGTGGTGGGTGCGATGATGGTGGATGGTACCACCCCAATGTAGGCATAATATATGGCATACATGGAGTGTCTGGGTATGAACAGAACCGTCTGTGCCTCTCAGAATCTTTACCTACCAGCCAACTCAGCTCCCTTTTTACCCCTCCTTAATGTGTCGGCTGCTTAAGTGGTTTCAAGCTTCACAAACGGCTTTCTTGGTGTCGGACGGTCTGCTTTCAGGTCGATCGCTTGCAAAGAAAGGGGCCCTTTTTGCCCAGGATTGATAGTGGATTGCATGGACTCCTTGATAGAAAAAACCCAAAAAGGAACCAGGTTAAGCATCGCCTCCGGCGCTCCTGGCATCGGACCCTCACGGAGCGATCGGCCTCCGGCGAAGCCCGTGGGGGCCGTCGAGGTCGTGTAGTCGGGACCTCGGAGCAGCGGTGTCGGGCGCTGCGCTTCCGGTGTCCCCCGGGGTGAGACGGTGGAGAGTCCAGGGAAGTGTGAAGTGTGGCGGGGTTACCCCCCTTCGTCCAGGAGTGGTGGGGTGGGTTTTGAGTTGGTGAGTGGAGGTTCTGGGCACCCCATGTTCCTTCCTCCAAGTTCAGCACGTCTTGTAACTCTTGGTAGACCGTTTTTGGAGGCAGGCTAACTCCAACCACGCTGAAAGCTGGCTGCCAGTTCGGGATGAGACGGGGCAATGCCCAACACGTCGTGCCTCCAGTCGTCGTGCCTCCTCAATTGCGGTCATTCTGACTGAACCCTCTAAAACCATGTAGGCATATATTCCATACATGGAGTGTATGGGAATCAACCCCAAACACTGGGTACGACTGGAGACCCAGGGCCCGGGTTCGTGGTTTCAACGATCAACTCCTCCACAGCGCGACCAACTCCACGTCTGCACGACAAGCCACTAATCATAAAGAGCATTTTGGATACAACCTACCAAAACGAGCATAACAAAACCTGAATCTTCCAACAAAAGTCTATTCATGACATGTTCACCAATTTGTTCAGCGGCTCTCAATTCTCCACCCGGTGCGCGTCAAAAGGCTGGGATTGGAGGATGCGAAACTGCCCAACATCGTCTGGCCTTGCGCGGAAGCAGCTGCGCGGCTCGATGAGAAACCGTTTGGAAGCAGAAAAATTGCCAGGGGAAGTCCAGGGGAAGGCTTCCCTCGTCGACGTCCAGCTTCAAAAGATTCTGGGAGGAGGCTATGAACAGGGGAAGGGATATATGATGTAGGAAAAACATCGCTGCAAAAAAAAATCGAACACCTGGGAGATGACTGGTAGCAAAGGATGGTTTGGGAGGAGTAAGAGTCCTCCTCAACGTCTACACAAAACAATTGCTATGACAAACATCACCTATCCCAAATACATATGGTCAGAAAAAACACACCCCACACACCCTGTTGCCCCGAGTCTGTCCAAAAAGCTTACGGAAAAGAGCCGTGGGAACTGGCAATCAAATGGCTTATCAACTTGGATTTCCCTGAGGGTCCTAATGACTCATTTTTGTTCCTATGCTAGTGGTGGATTATGGTTTCCAGGTGGGGTTGGGTGAGTCATTGGAAGTTCTGGTTTCTACAGGTCTAAGCCACTGCACCCAAAAAAGACTCCTCCGGCATGGGAAGATGTCCGACGAGCTGTGGATTTAGAAGATATACCAGCATAGACCCCAAACCGTTTAGTTGGCAAGAACTGTTGTTGTTGTGGGCGGCCACAGCCCCAGCGCCTGCCTCAGCACGACGGCAGCAGGACAACAGAATGACCAAAGAAGGAAACGAGGAGGACAACAGAGGACAAAACGATGAAGGAAAGAAAACAATACGAACAACAAGAAGACAAATAAAGGACAAACTGCGACGAGGCAACGGCAAGAGGACAACAGGACAACATGAGGGGAACATGCCAAGAGAAGAACCAGAGGAGAACAGGAACAAATGACAAGGGGAAAACAAGAAGGAGCACGACCGGAGATACGCTGGCAGCCGCGGCCAATGAAGACCAGAAGAAGGACAACAAGAAGGCAATAGAAGAACAGGACCAAAAAGGTTGTGACAAGAGAAGAAAATGGAGGACACCCAGACTGGCGCGGCCTGACACTCTGGCTAGTTTCTTCTTCCTAGGAGAGAGCCCCGCAAGAAGAGGTCAACAGGAAGAAAAGGAGAGGACATCGGTTTCTGGGGTTGCTTTCTGGAGTTGTCCTGCTAGCGCCGTGCTGTGGCCATCAGCAAATGAAAAGCATTGAAAAGCAAACCCAAAACACTTTGCCACGACTGACCTTCGCCGTGGTTGTGACCTGTGACACGCTCCATATCTGATGCGCCTGACCCACTGCAAGATTCTCTGCGCTTGGCGCAGCTCGAAAATTTCCGAGGCAGCGATGATGACCGCGCGCATCTGTACCACTTTGCAGGATAGCTTGATCAACAGTTCGAAAAGAGCAGGTACGTGGATTCTGCGTCCAGAATCCATATTAGTGCCTCAGAACAGCCTCTTCGTAACACCAGCCAGGCAGTCCCCCTGCTAAATCAAAATTCAACTGCAAGAGCAATCAGCATGACTCCAATGGTGACACACACAATCACACAGGCTGTCGTCAGAGTCCGTTGCACTCGAAGTGATGGACCACTTCCGACCTTGCACCGTCCATGCGACGTCCTTGCAAACCCGAGCCACCACCGAAGGTGTGATGCCTCGGCTAGGGTGAAGTATCAAAAATTATGTACCGCATCAAAAATAAATATTCAAGGTGATCAATTAAAAATTAACTGCTTGATCAAAAAAATAAAGTTTTTCTGCCACGAGCCCTCTGGGAATAAGCCCTCTAAGAACAGCAGGTCTTCGCACTTTGGGCTGGGCGTCAGACCTGCTGGCATTTGGGTTGGAGCCTGTAGCCTCCCGCTCTGGCACCTTTCCTTTTGTAGCCTTCTCCTTTGGAGGCTTTCGCGGTACCAGCCGAATTTCGAGATACGAGACGGATGAACCGTTCCTAAAAGACCGGGTCACTTGTCCCTGGGTCCCTGTTTGTCGGGCACCAACTAACGAGCAGTTCTCCATCTACCACCACCAGATCTGAATTGAAAATACACCTCATGGCGTGATGGTGTTTAAAGAGGCTGTCCATCTACCTCCGTTGATTTTGTTTATCCTCGGTGTCAACTGTGCAACCCCGGACCCTAATCTATAGGAGGCTTCCCGGGTCCAACCCAGAAAGCTTCCAAAAGAAGCAGCATCAAGAGGACAGGAGCCAAAGAAAGCTGACCAAAAGCTCCAAAATCAGAAATCCGGACCCTATCTATCTTTAGGAGGCTTCCCGGGTAGTTGGAGCCTGTGGCCTCCTGCTTTGGCACCTCAAGCAAATAATCACTTAGTTAAAGCGCAGGACTATTTTTGCAGACACCATGTCATCCTCAGAGTGAGACGTGAATCTTCCGCTGATCTGTACACAAGGCAATAGGGCAGTTGTCGTAGAAGGCACTGATCGCCTCGCGAACAGCTTCCACATAAGCGTCGAGACCCAACGCAAGACGCGCCGTCCGACAAATAGATAAGTGTCTGGACAATGAAGGCCCAACTTGACCCACTGTGTCTGCGGGTACGAATACACTCGTCTCAATGTGCTTCTGAAGTGCTTCTGCCTCATCACGAGTGGTGCACTTGTACAGCGACACGTGATGCATGTTGGAGCCGACGTTGATGCAGGGCAGCACAAAGGGCAACTTCCATATGGTGACCCCCACGTCGGTCACCAAGAGCATCTGAAGGAGTTTGATGCCCTGTGGGGTGGGATCCATCGGACACTTGAAGAGGGTCGGCCTTAACATCAACCCAATAAAGCGCAAGAAGGCTTTGGCCAGGGGCTTGCCGCCCTTCCACAAGGTCGTGTGCTGTGGCACCCGCCCATCAACCGAAACCGAGGAAAGATTCAGTTCCAAAGTTGCAGGCGTTCGCCACATCATAAAAGCGCCCAGCAGCAGAATTTTCATCATGGTACAGGATTAATGCTACAAGCGATACTGTGAGCCCAAGCTACAGCCGCTCAAACGTCATGAATCACTACCATGATAGTCTGCAAAAAATGAGCATGGACACGCACATACTTTGCAAATTTCTTGCCACAAAAAATTGAATTCAAGCGGAACCTTGACTGTTGAACATTAAAGCTGCTGCCGTTCTAAAAAGGAAAGCCAGGCAGCCAGGCGGCAAGGAAGGAAGAAGGCAGGAGGAAACAACGTAGCATAATGTGGTAAGGAAAAGACTAAGACAATAAAGAAGGTAAAGGATAGAATCGGATAGAGTTAAACAAACAAGAACAAGACAAGAACCATCAAACATGTTCATCGCACCCGTTGGCCACTGTAGTACATACCTGAAAGCATTAGCCATGTCTGGGGGGAGGCACTGCGCCCTCCCCCTCAACCTCCTCGTGCCACAAGATTCCTGCTACGAACTTTGACTTTGAGCGGAAACTGCCTGCGATGTAACACTACACACAATGCAGGAGCCGGAAAAAGAGGCGGGCGAGGAGGCCAACATTAAATAAAAACAGCTAACGGAAGGGAAAAAGGATGCAAAAGACTAGAACAAGGTGAAGGTGACAGTGCGTGCTTCCATTCTTCCATAGTCTTTGGATCCAATAGGGCGCATTTGCCCCGAAAGGAAGTGTGAAACCTTGTCAAACGCACTGCGCTGAGCGCCAGCGACGCTGGAAACAGTGGCTTTTGCAAACATTCGGCACCGCATGCAAAAAATGCCAATGATGCAGCCGGACGAGGGCGGCACCATTAGCACCACTGCTAGGAGAGTTCTGGTATAGATACCAAATGATTTGTGTGCCAATATTTGGCGTGCTCGGAGGGAGCAGTGTCTTGATTGATCAGCTTGTCAACGGGCAAATGCCAATACGAACGTACAGCAAGATGACATGTAGAAAAAATAACAGGTTGTCCGAAGTCTGCCAAGCTGCCTAGTGCGCAAAGGCTGCAGAGTGGCGAATCCAAGTGGCCAAAGACCTGGCTGGCCGCGATGTCGAAATGAAAACAGCCAGGAGATGCGTGCGTTTTCGGGTGAAAGAGTCCAAAGTGAAAACACAAACAATGTCCGTCTCAAATGAGGGGGTTCTTTCTGGTGGTCAAATGTTGTAGAGATTATTTGATTGAAGTTGAATCTGACTAAGCTTCGTAAAGATGCCTGTGAGAGCGGCTTTGAAAGAGTCCTCCGTGTCGGTGCAAACTGTCCTAGCTGGCTTGCGGCTCCAAAATCGTTGCGGCTCCAAATCGATCACCTGCCGATCCCCGTGCCCGGCGTAGCTTTCGCCATAGGCTCAGGTGGACATCACCACAGGTTGTCCTGGAGAGCTTTGGCGAATGGATTTGAGGCCTAGACCGTATTTCCGGTCAATGACTGCACTCTGGACAAAGATGTAGAAACCATCGCAAACAGTCTAGCACTGCCCTCGAGTATCTGCTGCCGCGCTGAAAAGGGTATCTCTAAAGCCGGCCATGTCATGGGTAAACGTGAGAGTGCAAGTTATTAGAAGCCGAGATCAAATGCCAGAGTTCTGGTTGGATCGTTGGGCGTGAATGGTGACCCTTGTGGTGATCTCCAGACTGCTAGGATTGGATATCCAAAAGGTCGTGGAGGGAGCTTCTCCAGATCACCGCCCCAGAAGGGATTGCCCCAGGCCTGCAAGAAGTCAGGACCTGCCTGGGCAAAGGCCTTCTGGGCAGCGGCCAGGACCGGCACCTGCAAAACAAGTGTCAAGCGATGTCCATGCCTGACGCCGGCCTCATCCAGAGGGTCGCGGGCGACAAGAGGGAGGCATCGGCGTCGACCAGCTGCACAAAGCGGCAGGCGTGGCACTCACGTAGCCACGCGGACAAAGCCGCAACTGTGCAGTCCGGGGAGGCGGCGTGAACGAAGTGGCGCCCAGAAGGCAAGGTCACGTGGATGTACATCACGCGGCGCGCCGGCGAGCGGGAGCGCTCCAACATGGGCCAGGCAAGAAGAAAGAGAATTAGTAGAACGTAGTAAAAATTCGAAAATTTGTCGATGACGCGCGTGTAGGGTGGAAAAAAGTTTCCG